ACCGAGGACGGAAAGCCAGGGACCCTAATTGCAGTTAGGAAGACTCCTAAAGGTCTCAGGCAGCCCAGGACTGGCCTGGTAAGAATAAAACCGGGTAAAAAGGGGAATCACATAGAAAGAAGATTGTAGAGATTAATTATCATACACTGTGCACTTTACAGCACACTGCAAAAAAAATGGTGAAAGTAGTAGAGTATTTAAAATTATAGAGGGAGCTTAAAGGACCACTATAGTGCCAGGAAAACATACTGCCATGAGGGTGTATATGATGCCATGATTAGCCAGGAAATATAATTTTTTTTTAATATTTTTATTTATATATAGGTATATATATAGTGATATATACGTATATATTTATGTATATAGATATATATATATATATTATTTCGTTCTAGGTGTATTTTGATATAAATATATATATATATATATATATATATATATATATATATATATATATATTAATATACCAATACAGGTAGAACGAAATAACACATCTATATATTTTTAATTATTTATTTTTAATTATTTTATTTTATTAAATTTTTTAACGTAATTACATATTTTTTTTATATTATATATAAATATATATAACAATAATTATATATATTTAATCAGTATCAGTCTACGTGTAATTTTATATTAAAATATATATATAATTATATATATATTAATAGTAAAATACACCTAGACAGTGTATGTGTGTGTGTATGTATATGTGTTTATATATATATATATATATATATATATATATATATATATATATATATGATCTAAGTATATAATTATTTTTTTTTACACTTAGAAAACTTTAATTTTATTTGAATTCAGTCAGCAGGGGGACTGTCATTACAGGCAGTCCCCCTGCTGGCAATGCAGCAGGCAGCTAACCCAGCCATGTGATTGTGAGGTCCTCGCAAGGACCTCACTCTCACATGGCCGGAGGGGGCTGCAGGAGGTCGGATGTGCCGCGGGGGGCTCCCTGGGAGTCTCCCCAACCGCGATTGCCGGCATGGGGTCGCCGGCGACCGGGTAAGTAAAAAAAAAAAACGGAGGGCGTACAATTACGCCCGGCGGCGTTTAGAGATGCCTAAAATAGGGTGTAATAGTATGCCCTCCGGTCTGTCTGCCAGAATTTTTGGAAATAATTTCACATCTATATTTTTAAGTGAAATGGGCCTGTAGTTTGTAATTATGCTCAGATCTTTCCCCACTTTTGGAATTGGGCAAATAGAGGCTTGGAGCATTTCTTGAGGTATGTCTCCCTTTCCCCCAAAATAATTGAACATTCTGATTGGCAGTGGGGAAATCACGGGGTCTGCTATCTTCTAGAACAGTGCTGTAAATCCGTTGGGACCTGGCGATTTCCTTGCTTTCAATCCCATTATTACTTTTTCAACTCTCCTATAGTGAAGGGTTGGTTTAACATCTCTTAGTTACATAGTTACATAGCTGAAAAAAGACTTGCGTCCATCAAGTTCAGCCTTCCTCACATTTGCTTTTTGCTGTTGATCCAAAAGAAGGCAAAAAAACCCAGTTTGAAGCACAATTTTGCAACAAGCTAGGAAAAAAATTCCTTCTTGACCCCAGAATGGCAGTCAGATTTATCCTTGGATCAAGCAGTTATTACCCTACATTGAAAGATTATATCCTTGAATATTCTGTTCTTGCAAGTATGCATCTAGTAGCCGTTTGAACATCTGTATGGACTCTGATAAAACCACTTCCTCAGGCAGAGAATTCCACATCCTGATTGTTCTTACAGTAAAAAAACCTTTCCTTTGCCTTAGGCGAAATCTTCTTTCTTCCAGTCTAAACGCATGGCCTCGTGTCCTATGTAAAGTCCGGTTTGTGAATAGATTTCCACACAATGGTTTGTATTGGCCCCGAATATATTTGTATAATGTTATCATATCCCCTCTCAGGCGACGTTTTTCTAAACTAAATAGGTTTAAATTTGTTAACCTTTCTTCATAGCTGATATGTTCCATTCCTTTTATTAATTTGTAGCCCGCCTCTGCACTTTTTCTAGTGCCATAATATCCTTCTTTAGAACAGGTGCCCAAAATTGCACAGCATATTCAATATGTGGTTTTACCAGTGATTTATAAAGAGGCAAAAATTATATTCTTGTCCGAGATGAGCCGCCTTTTTCGTACGCTGACAATACCTTACTAGCCTTGGCCACTGCTGCTTGACATTGCGCATTGTTGCATAGTTTGTTGTCTATAACAATTCCCAAGTCCTTTTCGTGTGTTGTTATCCCTAATTAGCTTCCATTAAGGGTATACGTTGCTTGTGTATTCTTTACGCCGAAGTGCATAACTTTGCATTTTTCAACATTAAATTTCATCTACCATTTGAGTGCCCAGTCCCCCAGTCTATCTAAATCCCTCTGCAGCAAAGTAATATCTTGCTCACATTGTATTGTTTTACAAAGTTTGGTGTCATCTGCAAACACTGAAACATGACTTTCAATGCGGTCTTCAAGATCATTTATAAACATGCTAAATAGAAGGGGTCCCAGAACAGACCCCTGAGGGACACCACCTGCCACCTCTGTCCAGCTTGAAAATTTACCATTAATGACAACTCTTTGTACTCTGTTTTTAAGCCAATGTTCTACCCAAGAACAAGCATTTTCATCTAGACCGATTTCCTTGAGTTTGAACACTAATCTATTGTGTGGAACTGTATCAAATACCTTGGCAAAATCCAAATAGATCACATCCACGGCAACACCCTGATCTATACTTCTACTTACTTCTTCGTAGAACGCAATCAAGTTAGTTTGACATGACCTGTGCTTCATAAAACCATGCTTATTTTTGCTGATAACCATGTTCTTCTCAAGGAATTCTTGAATATTATCCCTTAATAAACTTTCAAATATTTTACCAGCCACAGAAGTTAAGCTCACAGATCTATAATTTCCAGGCAAGGATTTTGAACCCTTTTTGAATATAGGAACCACATCTGCCTTCCTCCAATCCTCCGGAACACTTCCTGAAAGAAAAGAATCTTGAAAGATTAAAAACAGAAGTTCACTTATTTCTGCACTTAGTTCCTTAAGTACACGTGGATGGATACCGTCAGGCCCTGGAGCTTTGTTTATATTAAGTTTCTTTAAATGCTGCAGCACCTTGTCTTGAGTTAACCAATTACAATTTTTCTGCAAGTTTTTAGTAGCAATCATTTGCACATCTTTTGCCATGGGTTCTTCCTTAATATATACGGAGGAGAAATAGTTATTTAAAATTCCTGCCTTTTCCTGGTCTTCATTAATTAACACCCCCGTTTCAGTTTTTAGTGTACCTACACTTTCATTTTGTTTTTTTTTTGAATTTATGTACTTAAAAAATGCTTTGGGGTTAGTTTTGCTCTCTTCAGCTATCATTATTTCATTTTGAAGTTTAGCAAGTCTAATTGCCTTTTTGCAAGCATTATTTGCATCCTTATATCTTTTATAAGATGCATCTGATTTGTCCGATTTAAATGCTTTAAATGCCCTTCTCTTAGTTGTAATCTCTTGTTTTACTTCTCTACTAAGCCATGTTGGTTTTAATTTGTTTCTTTTATATTTATTTCCCAACGGTACATACTGAGAAATGTACCTTTTTAATATTTGTTGGAAGATGATCCATTTATCCTCAGTGTTCTTTTTCACTAAAGAGTTTATGCCAGTCAATATATTGTAAAGCTTCCCTTAACTTATTGAAATTGGCCTTTTTAAAATTATATGTTTTAGTATTCCCCATGTACTTTTGTTTTTTTGAGTTTATTTCAAAGGACACTATATTGTGATCACTATTTCCCAAGTGCTCACCTACTTGAATGTTGGTCAAAAGATTAACGTTGTTTGTTAAAACCAGGTCCAGGACAAGCGCATCAATCCAACCCACTCGAATTGCTCTCAGCCTATACATCCCACCCACTCCCATTACTATCAGGATATCAATAAAAATATTAATAATTGAGTGTGTGTATGTGTGTGTGTGTGTCTGTGAGTGTACGAGTGTGCACATGTGAGTATATGAGTGTATGTTTGTGAGTGTCTTTCAAATCAGTGAGAGTATGTTTGTCATTGAGTTTGTGTGTGACTGTCAATGAGTGTCTGCCAGTGTGTGACTGTCAATGTATGAGTGTGTGTCAGATCAGTGACGTCTGTGTGTTTTGTCATTGAGTGTGTGACTGTCAGTGTGTACACACCCAGGGCCGGCGCTACCTGTTAGGCGGACTAGGCAGCCGTCTAGGGCGCCCCTTGGGAAGGGGCGCCGCCAGGAGCGCCGGCCCCCCTCATGCTGCAGCCGCCCGAGTGCTCTGTAGAGAGCCTCAGGCGGCTGCAGCTTTGCCCGGGTGGTGCGCCCATGAGGGCGGACCGCACCGCCTGGGCGCAGCATGAGGAGAGGGGCTGACAGGAGGGAAGCGCTCAGCGCTCCCTCCTGTCACTCCCTCCCTGTAGTGTGGCCGAGCTCTGCATCATGATGGTCCGCAGGTACAGGGAGCATCTGTCTCCTGTACCCGGCCGGACTAACAGGAAGTGCACACAGAGTGTGCACTTCCTGTTAGTCCGGCCGGGTACAGGAAACAAAAGCAACCTGTACCCGCGGACCATCATGCTGCAGGGCTCGGCCACGCTACAACAAAGGTGGGGGGGAGGAGAAAGAAATTGGGAGGGGAGGGGGGAGAAGAAATGGGGAGGGGGGGGGAAGAAGAAACTGTCATGGGAGAAGAAATTGGGAGGAGGGGGAGAAGAAATTGGTAGGGAGGGGAGAAAATGGGGAGGGGTGGAGAAAAGAAACGCTGGT